TTGAAGCAGTGATCAAAAACCTCCCAAAAAACAAGAGCCCAGGACCTGATGGATTCCCTGGGGAATTCTACCAAACTTTCAAAGAAGAAATAACACCTATTCTCCTGAAGCTGTTTCAAAAAATTGAAGCAGAAGGAAAATTTCCAGACTCTTTCTATGAAGCCAGCATTACCTTGATCCCCAAACCAGGCAAAGACCCTACCAAAAAGGAGAATTTCAGACCAATATCACTGATGAATATGGATGCTAAGATTCTCAACAAGATCCTAGCAAACAGGATCCAAAGCACATTAAAAAGATTATCCACCATGACCAGGTGGGATTTATTCCTGGGCTACAAGGATGGTTCAATATTCGCAAATCAATCAATGTGATAGAACAAATTAATAAGAGAAGAGAGAAGAACCACATGGTCCTCTCAATTGATGCAGAAAAAGCATTTGACAAAATCCAGCATCCATTCCTGATTAAAACACTTCAAAGTATAGGGATAGAGGGAACACTTGTTATTTCTTGTCTTTTTGATACTAGCCATTCTACCAGATGGTTTTGATTTGTGTTCTACTGATGACTGGTGATGTTGTGCACCCTTTCCTGTACCTGTTAGCTATCTGTATGTCTTCTAGAAAAATGTCTATTCAGATCATCTGCTCATTTTTTTGATTCTCTGCCAATTTTTAAATCAGATTGTTTTTCTGCTACTGAATTGTATTCTTTATGTATTTTGAATATTAAACCCTTATCAGATATATGATTTGAAAATATTTTCTCTTATTTCATAAGTCACCTTTTCATTTTATTGATGGTTTCCTTTACTGTGCAGAAGCTTTTTGATTTGATGTAGTCAGTTCACTTGTTTTTGTTTGTTTGCTTTTTCCACTTTTGTTGCTTTTGCCTTGATGTCAAATCCAAAAAATCATCTGTAAGGCTGATAACAGGGAGCTTACTGCTTACATTTTCTTTTAGCAATTCTATTGTTCAGGTCTTACATTGAAGCCTTTAATCCACTTTGAATTTATTTTTATGTATGATACAAGACAGTGGTCCAGTTCACACTTTTCCATGTGGCTGTCCAGTTTTCACAACACCATTTACTGAAGAGACTCTTCTTTCCCCACTGTATATTCTTGGCTCTTTTTTCAGAAGTTAATTGACCACATATGTGTGGATTTATTTCTGGGTTCTCTATTCTGTTCTATTGATCTCATCTGGCTTTATGCCAATACAATACTGTTTGGATTACTATAGCTTTGTAATACAATTTAAAATCAGGGAAAATGATGCTTTGTTCTTCTTCCTCAAGATTGCTTTGGTTATTTGGGGTCTTTTGTGGTCCCATATAAATTTTAAGATTGTTCTATTTATGTGAAAAATTCCATTAGAAAATTGATAGGGATTGAGTTGAATATATAGATTGATTTAGATAGTATGAAAATTTTAAAATATTAATTCTTCTAATCCTTGAGCATAGAATATCTTTCCATTTATTTGTGTTTCCTTCAATTTCTACCATGAGTGTCTTATAGTTTTCAGTGTATCCTTTACCTCCTTGGTTAAATTTATTCATAGGTATTTCAATGTTTTTTACTCAATTATAAATGAGATTGTCTTCTTAATTTCTTTCTGATAATTCATTATCAATGTATAAAAATGCAACAGGTTTCTGTGTACTAATTTTGCATCCTACAAATGTACTGAATTTATTAGTTTTAACATTTTTTTGTAGATTCTTTATGGTTTTCTATGTATAGTATCATCTCATCTTTAAATAGTGACACTTGTACTTTTTTCCTTTCCAATTGAAATAAATTTTGTTTCTTTTTCTTGCCTAATTGCTCTGGATAGGACTTCCAATACTGTATTGCATAAAAGCATTAAGAGTGGGCATTCTTAAGATTGTTTCTGATCTTACAGGAAAAGCTTTCAGCTTTTGACCATTGGGTATGATGTTAGCTGTGGGCTTGTCATACATGGTCTTTATTATGTTGAGGTACATTCCTACTATATCTACTTTGTTGAGAGGTTTTTTTCCCCCACCATAAATGGATGTTGAATTTTGTCAAGTGCATTTCTACATCTATTGAGATGATCATGATTTTTAATACTCCATTTTGTTAAAATGGTGCACCATATTGATTGATTTGTTGATTTTGAACCACACTTGCATCCCTGGAATAAATCCTACTTGACTATGATGTATAATCCTTTTAATGTATTTTTGAATATAGTTTACTAATATTTTGTTGGGTATTTTGCATCTATGTTCTTCAGGGAGATTGCTGGTAATTTTCTTTTTTTGAAGTTTTTATCTTAATTCCAATCAGTTAACATACAGTGTTATACTAGTTTCAGGTGTACAATGTAGTGATTTAACAATTCCACTCATCACCTGAGGCTCATGACAAGTGTATTTTATAATCTCCATCATCTATTTAACCCATCCCACAACGCTCTCCCTCCTAGAAACCATCAGTTTGTTCTCTATAATGAAGAGTCTGTTTAGGGGTGCCCGGGTGGCTTAATGGGCTAAGTGTCTGCCTTTGGCTCAGGTCATGATCATAGGGTCCTGGGAATGAGCCCACATCAGGCCCCCTGCACAGCAGGGAGTCTGCTCCTCCCCCTTTTTCTCCCTCCCCCCTTTCCCTTCCTCTTTTTCTCCCTCTCTCTTTACTTTCCCTCTGTCTTTCCTCCTCCCCTCCCTTTCCCCCTCTACCTCCACTCATGCTCTGTCTTCTTGCTTTCTCTGTCTCAAATAAAATAAAATATTTTTTTAAAAAAAGAGTCTTCTTGGCTTATCTCTCTCTTTTTTCCATTTTGCTCATTTGTTTTATTATATTCCACATATGAGTGAAATCATATAGTATTTGCCTTCCACTGATGGCTTGTAATTTTCTTGTCTTGTGGTGCCCTCACCTAGGTTTAGTATCAGGGTAATGCTGACTTCATAAAATGAGTTTGGAAGTGTTCCTTCCTCTTCTCTATTTTGGAAGAGTTTGAGAAAAATTAATATCAGTTCTTTTTCTTGTTTGATAGAATTCACCAGTGAAGCTGTCTGGTTCTGGATTTTATTTGTTGAGAGATTTTTGATTATTGATTCAATCTCCTTACAGTCTTGTTCAGATTTTCTATCTTCATGATTCTGTGTTGGAAGGTTGTGTTTTTCTATGAATTTATGCATTTCTGCTAGGTTTTCTAATTTGTGTATAATTGTTCATTATTATGGTCTTTTGGTCATCTTATGATCATTTGTACTTCTGTGGTTTCTGTTGTAACATCTCTTTCATAAATGATTTCATTTTTTTTTTAGTACTCTTCTTTCTCTTTCTTCTTCCTTTCCTTCTTTCTTTCTTTTCCTTTCTTTCTTTCTTGTGAGTCTAACCAATTAGTTTGATTTTTTTTTATCTTGTCAAATAATCAGCTCCTAGTTTCATTGATCTGTTCCATTGTTTTTTTAGTCTGTGTTTCATTTATTTCTGCTCTTACCTTTGTTATTTCCTTCCTTCTACTAACTTTGGGCTTTATTTGTTCTTCTTTTTCTAGTTTCTTGAGTAGCAAACTAGGTTGGGGTTTTTTTTTTTTTTTTTGACATTTTTCTTGCTCTTTGAGGTAGGCATTTATTGCTACAAGCTTCCCTCTTAGAGCTGCTTTTGTGGCATCCCATATGTTTTGGTATGTTGTATTTCCATTTTCATTTGTCTTAAGACATTTAACATTTCTCTCTTGTCATCTTCACTGACCCATTGGGTTGTTCAGTAGCATGTTGTTTAATTTCCATAAAATTGTGACTTTTCCAGTTTTCTCTTTGTAATTGACTTCTAGTTTCATATCACTGGGGGTCAGAAAAGATAGTTGGTATTATTTCAATCTTGTTAAATTTGTTAAAACTTGTTTTGTGGACTAGCATATGATCTATGCTGGAGAACATCCCATGTGCACTTGAGAAGAATGTATATTCTGCTGCTTTTGGATGGAATGTTCTGTATATATCTATTAAGTCCATCTAGCCTGATGTGTCATTTAAGGCCAATGTTTCCTTATTGATTTTCTGTCTGGATGATTTATCCAGTGATAATGATGGGGTATTAAAGTACCTTACTATTATTGTATTGCTATCTATTTCTCCCTTTAGATCTGTTAATATTTGCTTTATAAATTCAGGGCTTCTACACTGTAGATAGATATGCTATAGATAACTTCTATCTATAGCATAGATATTTACAAATGTTATATTCCCTTGTTGGATTGACTCTTTTATCACTTTTTATGAGCTTTTTATTGTTTTTATAAAGGCCCTATGAGAGGGCAAGTTTTGTCAGACTGTGAAAACACTTTGAAACATAAGTACATAAGTACATACAGTACTTAATTATGGAATTATTTCAGCAAATCTATTTGTTAATTCTCTTTGTTGTATGTGTTGGATTTTATTGATTGCAATGTCCCAATTAAAATCTTACAATGGGATAATACAGTAATTAAGAGCATATGCTTTAGATTCACAGTAACATGGATTCAATTACTGTTTGTTGCTTTTTCAGTATTGTAGACATTTGTTGTTTTGTCTTTCCGGAACAGCAACCCCCTATTCTAGAAAATGCTCCCTCAAACTGTGATTCTCATGGAAGCTGCTATCTCTTACGCAACAACTCCTTGAGTACTGAATCCTCTTGGTTTCCTATCTTGGCTCTTCTTTTCTCACCACATTTTCATTTGGACGCCAGATCCCTCATTGTCTGTTTTGTGGCTGATTCAAAAATAACACAGCTAGGTTTTTTTTGTTTTTGTTTTTGCTTTTTTAATGCTAGGAACTTTGCTAATCCTTTTGATGCATTATCTCATTTAATTGTGACAACCACAATGAGTCACGATGCAGTGACTGTTATTATCCCTATTTTTCACATGAGGAAACAGATGTTTAAAGATGTTTATAAAAGTCACAGGGCTAGTAGGAGGTGGGAGCAGCTCCCTTCAAAGCCCTTGCTGTTAGTCACAAAATGTGGTCTCGGAAGCCAAAACCTCACTCCTCACCCAGGACATGTCCAGTGGGGTCTCTGGTCTCCTGCACTATGGGTGGGTGGAGTATTCAATTTCTCATTTCACCTCCACTATACTTAAGCTGTACTGGCATCATGGATTCTGTGAGTCTTGTTAAATACTGGGTAGTTTTCACTACTATTTTTAGATCCTTCAACATTTACCAGAGTGCCTCAGCCTTGTTACCACAGCCTTTGAGGGCCTTCAATATGACATTTATCTCTTTCAAAATACACATAATCACTCTAATCTTACCTGTCTGTGATTTGCGGGTTTCTTAGTTTCCACTGTTGTAGATGTTTTCTCCAGGTACTTAATGCTTTGGTACTTCTCCTTGGAACTGCAATATTTTTTTCAATGAAACTGGGTTAATTTTTTTTCATTTTGTTTAGTCTTTTGGATGCTTTTCTTTTTGTATAAAGCTTAAGTTTGTTGGGACAGATCTGCTGAACTATTTTATCTCGCCTATTACACTACAATGGACTAAATGGTTTTATCCTCCAAATTCATGTGTTGAAATCTTAATCCCCAAGGTGATGTTATTAGAAGGTGGGGACTTTGTGAGGTGATTAGCCCTCATGAATGGGGTAAGTGCTCCTCTAAGAAAGACCCCTTGCTTCTTCTGCCATGTAAAGTTACAGTGAAAAGATGGCCATCTATGGCAAGTGGGTCTTCACTGACTGAATCTGCCAGCACCTTGATCCTGGGCTTCCAGAATGGTGAGAAACAAACTTCTATTGCTGATAAACTACTCAATTTATGGTATTTTGTTATAGCTGCCAAAATGGACAAAGACATAGACCATGAGCAGTGTCAAACTCTAGGACACAACTCACTAGTGAGCTATGAAATCAATTAGTGGGTTGTTACCAGTATTTTTAAAACAGAAAATAGAACTGAAAATATCAGGGTGTATTATACATAATAAGGATTAAAACAATTTTGTACAACATTTGTGTCAATTGTGTGTGTATGTGTTACAATGTAAGATATATTTCTAACTGTGAGTGATGGTCAAGAGTTTGAGGATGGCTCTTTTACAGTATTCCCTTTTGGAATGTCCTGATTTATCCTATAGGAAGGTCATTTTTTCCTTCTTCTTTCTATAGCTCAACTAAACCACAAATAATGGCATTTACTACATTTCACAATTGTGACAATTATCTAAAGAATTGAAGCAGGGCACCTGGGTGGCCCAGTCAGTTAAGCATCCAATTCTTGTTTTTGGCTCAGGTCATGATCTCAGGGTCCTGAAATCAAACCCCACATCAGGCTCCATGCTCAGTGTGGAGTCTGCTTGTTCCTCTCCCTCTGTTCCTTTCTCTTTCTCTCTCAAATAAATAAATAAACAAAATCTTAAAAAAAGAATTGAAGCATAGCCTATAACTATCCTAGATCTATGTCAATTTATGATGTTAAAAAAAGCATTCCGTCTTAGATGGAAAATTATTGACCAGCTTCTATAAAATGCTTAGAACATTTCTTATCCCAAAAGATAGTGCATTTAATTTGTGCCTTGTCCTTAGAGATTTCCCCAATACCAATTCCATATTCCTGGGAGAGGGAATCTAATGGGCTCAGCTTAGGGCAGGTGTTAATCTGGGTTCAATCAGTAATGGCAGAGGTCAAAGTTAAGAGGTCACATGATCTAGTGCCAGTAAGCAGGAGCTGTGGGTAGAGTAGGCATTTAAAATCCTGTCTCCTAAATTTTGGCCTGAATACCTCTTTTATCAGTGTTTGTTGGATTTACTCTAATGAAGTGTCAAAATTTGGTCACTGGCACATGTTTTAGGACCATTTCAATAAGGAAACTTAAAGGGCTAAAAAGAATCGTTCTACACTTGACTTGACTCTCTATAAAGAGTATGAGTTATTGGGGGGCTAATACAAACTCTTTCAGTCCCATCTATTCCCACAGCGGGAGGTCGGAGCATCTTTAAATAAAAGGCTAGAGTCTGAGCAGAAGACTCACTGGGAGCTAACTCTGGAGCTCTGATGTCTTACCTTATCTGAGGCCTGACCTCTGCCCATCAACACATAAACCAAGGTTCATCTCAACTTCCCAATGATTATGTCTTAAATCCTTTAAAAAAGATGTTTCAGCCTTAGCATTCCCAAATGACCAAACTCTTAACCATTTTGTCTCATATGGTTTGTTTGTTTTGGTTTGGTTTGGTTTTTTGAGTGCTTACCATATTTTGTTTTGAGTACTAGGCACTGAGATAGTTACTAAGGATACACTGGAGGATCAAATAGACATAGCCTCTTTCCTGATAAAGCTTCCTCTCTTCATTTATGACAAGGACTGTCATTTATGTCCTACTGGTTTTATTCTCTTCCTCAATCCTCACTTATGGGACTTGAGTTCTTGTTGAAATTTTTGCAGACCTCGTCCTTAACCATTTTGTGATGCCTTGGTCAAGGGTGAAAGGAAGACTTACTCTGTGTCTGCCCTGGAGAAAGGCACATCTTTCCTGTTTATCAGAAAACCAAAAGCTTGAGAGCAGCTGAGACAAATATCAAGCTTTTTTTTTTGTTTTCTGTAGGAGACCACAAGATTGACCTATGTAATCTTATCTACAGAATCCTCTTCCTGAAGCTATTAATTATCTCACCAAATCCTTAATCTTCTTAGCAAGGGTCTAATAAGACAAATACCAGGGTCCAACAATAATGGCTAGGATAATGGTGTCACTAGCTCTGGAAGTCATGACTACACAAATGTTTTAGTAAATGTTAAAAATGCTCACTCAAGGAGGAGGGCCCTGAGTTACTTCTTAGTATCAATGACTAAATCACATGTGTGAGAGGGAGATTTTTAATTAATTAGAACAGGTTCAGGGTTATTTGGGGTAAACACACCATACAATATAAAGTATTTGTGAACATCTTTTTTTTTATAAAGATTTTATTTATTTATTTGACAGAGATCACAAGTAGACAGAGAGGCAGGCAGAGAGAAATAGACAGAGGAGGCAGCAGGCTCCCCGCCGAGCAGAGAGCCCGATGTGGGGCTTGATGTGGGGCTCAATCCCAGGACCCTGGGATCATGACCTGAGCTGAAGGCAGAGGCTTTAACCCACTGAGCCACCCAGGTGCCCCTGTGAACATCTTTTAAATACATGCCGGGAATTCTGCTAGGCACTGAGAACACAGCCAGACAATTGAGAATGCTTGTCTGTGTTCATCATATCTAATTCCTCTCCTCCCATTCTCTTTTAAACCTACTCTAGGAAGGTATTTCACCTCCACTACCCCTCTGACACCATTTTTTCCAGGTCACCAGTTACTGACCTTTCCACTGTCAAATCCAATAGCAGTCCTTGGTCCTTCTCAACCTCACGTAGCAGCATTTCGGAGCTGCTCACTCCCTCTTCCTTGAGATGTTCTCTTCACTTGGCTTCAGAGATATTACTCCCTCTTGGTTTTCTTCCTTACACAGAGCAGGGCTGTCCCCCAACTCCCATAAGGTCGCTGTGCCTGGTCAAACAGGTTCAAGCAAACCATGTGACTGACATGCTGAACAAGCTTAAAAGGGTATTATGGAACCATCTGTCTTTATGCTTATGGTACTTTATCAAAGTCTGATTTATAAACAGAAAAATATACAAACCTGATTTTGACAGGTGAATGTACCAGTGTCAATAACACTCAGATCCAGATATATCACTCCAGAAATTTCCCTGGTGCCCCTTCCCACTCACTCCAACCCAAAGGCAACCAATTTTCTACTTTCTGTCATCAATCAAAGATTAGATTTGTCTATTCTCAAATTTCATATAAAGGGACCAATACAGTATGTTACTGTCATGGGCTTCTTTCACTCTCACGGTTTTTAGATTGATTCATATATAAGGAGTCTGTTCTTTCTTACTGACAGGTAGTGGTCCACTATATGAATATATCATAGTTGTTTGTTCATTCTGTTGATGGGGAAGCAGGTTGTTTCCTCATATGGACTACTGTGAATAACCCTATGATTAAAAAGTCACTAATAACATTTGCCTTTTTGCTGAAATATTCATTCCTCTTGGGGTATGTAACTAGAATGGAATTGCTGGATAATAAGGTAGGTGTATAACTTTATAGAAAACTGCCAATTTTCCAGAGCTGTTAAACCACCACCATTGTGGAGTAATTCGGATTGCTCCGCATTCTTGCCAATACATATGAATGGAGCAAGGCCAGCCCTCCCTCTGCTTTACCATCTATCCCCTCAGTCCCCTAGATCCCTCTGTGAACTCCTGAACTGAAGGGATGGACAACTTTAAAAGGGAAGGTTGGAGTCAGCCAGTCTTTTCAATATGAGTCATTCTCGTGGGTGTATAGTGGTATCTCGTTGCGGTTTCAATTTTAATTTTTCTGATGACATATGATGTTGAGCAAGCACATTTTCATAAATTTTTTGGCCATTTGAATATCTTCTTTATGAAATAATGGTTTAAGTTTTTTGCTTATAATTGTAGTTTTGTTTGACTTATTATTGTTGACTTGCAGGACTCTATGAATCCTTCATCAGGTATACATATTATGAATATTTTCTTCCTGTTTGTAGATTGCCTTTTTATTTTCTCAGTGAATATTTTGATGAGTTGAAATCTTAAATTTTGATAATTATTTTTATGTCCTGTAAAAGAAAACTGCCTATGCCGAGGCAGTGAAGTTTTTCCTCTATGTTTTTTCTCTTTGAACATTCAGTTTCAGTTTTCATATTCAGCTTTACAATATTGGCTCAAAAGGCCACCGTCAGTCACTTAGATTATTCTAGTTGTCTTAACTCTTCTTGCTTCTATCCTTGCCCTCCCTGATGCCCCTTCCCAAGGCAGCAGCCATAGTGACCCTTTAAAAACATCATTCAGGGACGAGTAGGTGGCTCAGTCCATTAAGCTTCTGCCTTCCACTCAGGTCATGATCCCAGGGTCCTGGGATCCAGCCCCACATAGGGCTCCCTCCTCAGCAGGGAGTCTGCTCCTCCCTGTGCCCCTCCCCCCTTCTCATGAGCTCTCTCTCTCAAATAAATAAATTAAAATCTTTTTTAAAAAGGAATAATAAAAGCTAGGTTTTTAAAAAATATTATTAAAAAACCAAAACATCATTCAGATCATGTCATTCCTGTAATCAAATCTGGTGGCTCCCCATTTCATTCACAGTAAAACCCAAACTCCTCCCAGTGGCCCACCAGATCCCACAAGTATCTTCACTGCTTCCATGATGGCTCATTCTGCTTCAGTCACACTGGCCCCCTTGCCTTTCACAGAATGTGAACACACCAGAGAAATCCATGCCTTAGCACTTGTGTTTCCTCTGACTCAAGTGCTCTTTGCAGATACAAAAGTGAAA